TGTTCCAATTGTAGCCCCACGCAAAACATCTGAAGATGAACATAGGTTTCGATATCTAGATCCTTTTCTTAAAATATTTGGCGGACCTTATAAAAATTATAAATTGAGATTGAATCGTACTGTCAATGGGAGCCAAAAGAGGCCGGATTTTTCATGCGTTGTGGATGAAGTGCCAATCCTTAATTCTGAAGTAAAGCCCATTGGTTATACGGAACTACAAAGAGATAAAGATTATGTTAAAGTCCATTTTAGAGCAAAGAAAACTATAAATACTTTGATTAAGAATGGAGGTGTTCCTGATCAAACAATATTTTTTATCAACATGGGTATGTACAGTATATCTTATCATGAAACTTTTCTATCATTTATTTTCGTTATATTCACTAATCGTTCATTTGAAATTTTAGGCAATACTGTCGAGTCATTCATCATGGATCTTGAATTCGAAGGAATATATCGATCCTGGCCTTTTCTGAAAACCAAACTCGTAACTGATAGACAGACACTTCCACTTCTTGCTCAAACATTGTCTCATTTTATCGCATTAGAGGTATATGGTGTGCTACATTTTTATCTTTATAATATGTCATGCTCATGATTGCACCATATTTGTATTTTTAGGAACGTGTCAATAATTTAGCAGGAGATTATAAGTGTCGACCAAGATCCTCCAAACAAGCTAGAAAAGATAAATTTATTAGAGACCTACCTGATTCTCCTCAACTGAAAAAGCTATTGAAATGAAATTTGTGAAGAATAATTATTATGTATAAATGTGCTATATTAATATTAATAAAGTTTTCAAATAAAGTTTGCTCACATTTCGGGCTTGTGTTTTATGCAGGTGGTGCACAGGTTGAGACGTTTTGTTGGGAAATTGTATACGCATCAGAAATAACATCAAAAATTTTTTCTTTGCAAAATTTTGCTGACGGCCGTCATGATTTTTCTATTTTTAAATATTTGTATACAGTGCATAAAATTTATTATCGAGCTTCGCGAATGCAATCCGTGATTGACAATGAACTTCTGAGCTTGTGAGATCGATCACCTGAAAAATGCGCAGTGGTACGATATCGGGAAAATTCTTGCCAAGATTATATTTTTTCTGAATATCATGCGCAGTAAGTACGTCATTCATATTGGGCGAGATCTTTGATCGGAGGATTTACTGCGCCATTGTGACAAGCTGTCACAGCACTACCGTCGGAAAAATAATGTTTACATGTATTTTCAAATATATACAATAAAGCATTTGTTCACATATTTTTAAATGTATTCCTCCCTTGATCTATTGATCTGCGGGAGATAACCTATCCTAATAGCATATCCAGATAACTTATCCTGATAGGTTATCTTTTTTCGAATGAATAAATTGTATATGTCTGTAAATGCTGTGTGACTGCTCATTGAACAGAATATATGAGTTATTTTTTGTTAATCTGATTAGCCGATCATCTCGTGATTTTGAGAAACAACTCAGCGCCATGAAAAGTGCCAGAGGAGTGCTGGGAACTGGCAGGGATCTAGGGTGATATATGTGATATGATATGATATACGTCATGCCACAAACTGATTTAGCCAGGCACTTGGCTCATTATTGGAATCATCGAGAATTTTAAATGTTACATATTTTCTGCGCACACTGCTTAATAAAATTAATTACCACATAATTCTATATTTAGAACGAACAAAATATGTGCAATTATTATATATCAGATTTTGTTTAAAAAAAAAGGCGTCGGAAGATGAGATTTAATAATTTGTGTAATACAAAATATATAATACATATATGAAAAAAAAGTAAAAATAAAAATCGGATGGCCGTGTCAATTTTAAAATTTTGTCATGAAAATCTAAAAATTAACTTTCAGTATTTAATAAATAAAGTAAACTTAATATAGATAGAAAAACTATGGGGTTTTACATGTAGAAAGTGGAGCGACTTTAACGTTATTCTTAAAACAAAAATCTCCTTGTGGTATACTCATACACGATGAACCTCCATAACAATCATCATAACCAGGAATACAAACGCATAAATCATGAGGTAATCCGGGTACATCGGTATCTGGTATAATAGAACAGGCAGTAATGCCATTGCAACCGGTATATTCGCCAGCTGAAAGATCAGGATCATAGTGGCAAGCATAAATACAAGTTTTAAATTCTGGACAACAGGATGGAGAGTTTGAACACACCCATCCATTCCCTAATTTTGCATTGTTTAGACAATCTTTGTCGTTTGTACAGCTAATACCACTGGTTTGTACACCGCCACATCTTTGAGAAGATACGAGTGAGATCAAAAAGCAAGTTGAAAATAAAAATAAAAAGAAAGAAAGACAATAATACATCTTAATACGAAAGAAACAGATTTAAAAATTGAAGACGTATATATACAGTATTTCTTTTCTAAGAAAACATGTAATCATGCCATGACTGCCTCTATGCATCACCCGATTTTCTATTTGTAACATCAAGTTATCATGCCATTCACGCCGATTATGCCTTTTCTATTGTAGATCATCCTTTCGTTGAGTCACTACGGTGTTAATCATACGATTCAATTCAGGTTACAACTTTCGTTATAGTAAAAATGTTAGCATGTAAGATTAAATAATATTATACCATACATACTATTATACTAAATTTCATGAATTTTTCTCGTCAATATTATAAATCATTTATACACGATATATTGTTATATTGTTATATATGTCGTGAAAACATCTTCTACTTGCCAAGCTGAGCACATGTCCATTTTCTGATTGTGGTATGAATGTTGATATTGTGGATTTAACTTCTATTAGGAAAGATTCACAATAATCTCGATTAGACATAACTAATTTGAAGTTTGTCCCATCTTCACCAACGATACAGGAAAATGCAATGTAAAGTGTTGAGGATTCAGCATATTAACAAACTGAAGGTGATTAACATGTGCGAAATGTTCTCCCTAGAATTCTCAAAAACCAACCCCTACAAGCATGTTGTACGTTATGATTGCACCAAGAATTCTCGCAAGATGTGTCCTACCTGCATAAATCTAACTGTAGATGAAACCAAATATGTAATGGCTGAAAATTTAATGCAGGCTTGCTCAGCCTAGGCCATTCTTTTTAGAAGAATATGGTCTTTTTTCTTTTGAAGCATTTGGCTAAAAGTTTTAATAAAGTTCACCCAACAATTTGGGCTTATATTTTTATTTGCTTCGTGAAGGTGTATGAGTGTGTCTAATGTATTTGGAATATGTAATAAATTTCCCTGATAATCCACGATCTAAATTATCACTTGACGTAGTGTACTACCGAATTTTAGACTGTGCCTTTGTGGCATTGCCGCCTGTCACTTGATCACATTTTTTCTGCGCAATTTTGACGAGCCCGGACATGGTGTCCAGACTAAAATAATGTTTTGCCTGTGATTTGTTATAGGCATAAACCAACCAATCGTAAATAAAATTTGCCCAGTAGGGCTTCTGTTTTTAACTCATATATGCGAATACGATCCCTGCTAAATGTGTCTTACCAATAACTGTTTTCCCGCAGGCAAAATACTGCGTTATATGATTAATCCATACTTTGGACACCGTGTCCAGACTCTACTAGAAAAATGAATTTCGGGAAATAAATTTAACCATTTTTTTTAACTGCGCCCTTGTGGCATAAAATTAGTTTTATTGATCACTGGTCACTGGATCACATTTTTTTTCTGCGCAATTAAGTCGAGCCCGGACACGGTGTCCAGACTCTACCATCAGAAAAAACAGTTGTAATGATTTTCCCGAATCAAAGGCTATCCGGCTAAAGAAAAAATCTGAAATCTGATTGGCCGATCATCTCGTGATTTATGAAAACTCGCCAGCTCCTGGAACTCTCCTAGAACTATCGAGGAACTGGCAGGGATCTAGGAGATCTCATGTAATACATCATGCCACAAACCGTTAGCCGTGCATATGCATGTAAATATAAAATTAGCTTAGCCGAGTTATAGCCCTATATAAATCCCCGATATGCTTGTAATCGAATAAAAATGAATCTGATATTTATTAGAGTATAATATTGCTAAATCAGCTAAAAACACTATAAATCAATAAAACACTATTTTATCACTTAAACGTTTATAAAGATGGATTTAGATAGTAATGCTTACTATAAGCTTTGTTCACCTGATTGTGATGACAAATATAATAAGATATTAAAAGCAATACACCTTTTACAACATAAATATGATAATGAAACACCAGAAATGTGGTGCTCTCGTATCCGTGATCTATTTAGAAAAATACTTGAAGAGAATCCAGAAATATTTTCTAAGAATGGATATATTCGCATGTATGCAAAGTTTTATGAAGATGGTAAAGGGTTTCATTCTAGCAGAAATCTAACAAATTATATATATTGTAGTGTGTGTGACTCCCTAGTATTCATCCCTGAAAGGCTTATAGGCGAATTT